TATCTCAACACTCCTTTTCTTTCCTTTTTTAGGTAGAAATAAACCTACCTAATTGACATATTGACATTTTTCAGGGTCCTTACTTGTATCCTACCAGAAATATTTGCCACTGAAAATAAGCAAACAGCAATTACCTTACTGATATTTAAAGATATCCAGATGATGGTCTAGCTGTCATTCTACTACTACTTCCTACATATATCACCCTGACATTCTGTCAATCTTATATTCCATACTTGACATTTCACTCTATTTACCTTTACAAGCTGAAGTGGGGGAGGGATATTGCTTGACTGCTAGCTAATTTACTGGTCCATAAATTCTACACTGAGAAACCCTGATATGACTAATTTACTGCTCACTAAGCCTCAAGGTCAAATATCGGTCAGGATCAGACTGGCAATAACTTCCTCTACATTTTATATATTAAGCAATTTCTGCTTCTTATTTAGCAATTTAATTTCATGGTTCATATAATAATATTGAGAAAATATTCATTAATTCTGATAGCTGCTGATAAAAACTAATTTTCCCTGGCTTTGAAGTGCTTAGCTTGACCATTGGGCATAAAGCACACAGCTGGAATTATCATATCTTCTCTAAGTACTAAAAGTGGCAGTTTTATGTGGAAATTGCATGTTTATGAGAATAGTTCACTTTGATATACTTTTTATAGAGGGCACTGTCCATACCAAAAGTGTATGGCACATTACATGCTCAAGGTTAATTATTGCTGACTAAGCATGAAAATAAAAAAGGTCAAAAGGTAAATATTTTGGTTCAAATGTAAAGTAAATAAGCATATTTCAACCTACCCTGAAATCTCCACAATTAAAAAAAGTTATAGAAGTACAATTTCCAAATTTTATTTTCTAACTGTGCAAAGGTCAAAAGTTGAATGTTTTTTTCTTACTTGATTTTGTTTTTTTTAAACTAAACAACCATCTCAGTAATATTGGGGTTTTTTTTTATCAAATATTTCAAATTGACTTTATAGAGAAATGTTCACAGGTACTTGTCTCTGAAATTTTTGTTTCTATATACCTTAATATAACACAAGGTACTTAACTCGCATTTTTGAAAAATGACAGCCGGTCGCAAACTTCTGTTATATTTTGATTTTTTAGTTGTTTACCACACTAAAACTTGTTATGCCATAAATCTAAATTAATTTATCGACACAATGGTTTAAAATGGGCCTACCTTTGTTGTCAGAATCATTCGTAGCAGGCCTCCCCAAGTATGTCAACCTTAATTATTTCGAAGTGGTGACATTTTTCAAAAATGCGAGTTAAGTACCGAGGACTTTAATGTAATGTTAAGGTAGGCATGCAAATTTAGGGTAGCAGTGGCAGTTCCAAGGGGTGGGGGTTCTGGGGGTTGGAACCCCCCCCCCCTTTTTTTTTGACGATCAATGCATTTGAATGGGGACATATGGTTGGAACCCCCCCTTTTAAAAATGGCTGGATCCGCCCCTGGGTAGGTAGATAACAGGGAGGCTGAGAACAGATCTATATTTTTTAGCAATCTTGTATGTATGTATGTTCTGTTTCTCACTCCTTTTTTAGGAGCACCACCATGGGTTATGGTGTAAAGGAGGACATTTAACACACTGTATCAGTACAGATTTCATGTGAGCATAAATTTGCCTACCAAGTTTCCCAGCCTGACCTTGACGGGTCTTACTACCATATCGTTCTCTAACTAGCTGAAATGAGGGAGCCTGTATTGTTTTTAGTGATAACTCAAAACAGCAAAAACTCTAGCACCTCAATGATTTATAACTCAATCCATTAAAACTTTTATATCTATATCATTATACCAATGAAATTAAGCCTCCAACAAATGATATTGTCATCCCCCGAATACTTCATAACTCAGGTCCCACTGATCAAGTTATGAAAGGATAATTATAATGGTTTAGTTTCCAGCTATATGGCATATTACAAAGTCACTTATTTATTATTTATTACATATCCATTAAGCCATAAGACCAAATAAAGGGACCCAAGAGCAGTTATTGTCCTTCAAAACAAATTATCAGGCCAGATATTGGTCATTGGGGGGAGACAACTGTTGAGAAATTATAAACTGACCCTCATGATCGTCTAGCCTTCAATTATTCTCAGTCCACTGCGGCTAATACCATGCATTTATAAGCCTAACAATGGCGACAGAATACTGACTAGCCCTCAAAAATAGGAACTTTAAAAAATATATACAATATATTTAAAGTAACAATGTCATTATATATGACATATATCATACTGTCATCATACTGGCAAAAGGGTTGGCAAAAATATTTTATGTTCTATGAGTGAAAATTTTTGTTTTACGTCTGCTTGTTTAAGGTTTTTCATCTTTTGTTGCTTATCTTTATTTTCCCAGGGTATGCATGGTATGATCAATCCTATTGATGAAAGAAAAATAAGTGGAACAACCTCTCTGTAGTATGGGGCATAGGGGGACTATTTAGAATTAACCTATGATGACTTCTGGTTTTCAGAAGTCAGAAGTCAGACTTTCAGTTCCCATTTTTTAGCAGGAATTCTGCTTCAATTATCTATGCAATCATTTTCATCAGAAATTTCTTCAAAACAGAGCTTTTATTGCTGTTCTTTATCTTGATGACACAATAAGGCTTTTAACTTTCACAAGTGCATGAAATCCAGAAGAGATTTCACAAAAAGCTTGCACATCAAATTGTTATCTTATGATAATGTTCACATTCTAGATAATTAAACACATGGTACATGAATATATCATGTAATAATTGCACTATTCTTTCAGCGCTGTTTTCTAAAACCAATAAATTAAACTATCATAATTTCTATATTAATGCCAATAAAAACAGACCTGTTTCTAAGCCAGTACATAGAGTGTGTGGTCAGTACCTTTAATGGTCACAAACCTGGTCATTGACTTTATAAATCCAACTTTAACTTTTAACACAAATCTCTTAATCTGTCAACATATATTTTAATTGTGCAAAAACACAATGAACCAATTTGTCACCTTGATTCTAATTTTTAAATTAAAAATATATGTTTAAAATTTAAATGATTGGTTAGTCTATAATTTATCTGATTTAGCACTTGGAAATTATTTGAATGAAATGACAAATACAATGGCTTCATTATGTATCAATAGTTTTTATATGCCACTTGCAAAATTTGCTGCTTGGCAGTTTTTTTTCACAATTGGATTTAATTTATTGTTGATAATTCAGTGATAAAATACAAAAGGACTAATTTATCACTCAAGTTTAAATTTATTTGAATTATAAGAAATCTGAACTGTGAACTTAATCTGAGTGAACATTTTTATTTTGATCCTTGACATCTCTGATTTCATTAATTATATCTTTAATTATTGACCTTCTAACCTCAAGTTTATTATATGTGTCAAAAATAATCTTGTTGTCACTTGAGAACTCATAATTTTTGCAGAATTTTTAACAATCTGACTCATGAATTAATTACTTGTGACAATTCTTTTTTTCATATAATTATTATATAACAAGTTTAATTATATAAAACTGACTCACCGCCTCTTTTCAGTATTTTAATTTTTTTTCAGACAACAAACCACTTCTGGAGGAAGAACTTTTTTTGTATTGCTAATCTTAAGAAAAATCTAGTTTTTGGGAGAGTAAATTTTATCAGAATTGTAAATGACTAAATATATTCCAGAAAAAATATGATTTTCATGTTTTCAGGAAAATTTAAACGGATAGTAGCTACGATTTTCATTAAAATTATTTTTCTAATCTATATGCCGGATTTTGTACAAAAGGTTTATTTAGAATGAATAAAACCATCACTGTTTACTTTCCAATTAGCATTTAGAAGCTTTTTAACGTTTTACACCTAAATTTAATTCTTGTCTATAGACAAAAATTCGATGTTAAGCCAACCCTTATTCATATGACCTATGTTGACCTTAACTCCGCAGTTCCCAATGCGCAATCGCAAGTTGTCCCTCGAAGGGAAAATGTCGAACAGAGATATGTTATCGCGGAAATGGAACGTGTGTTTACAGTTTCTGCGAGAAAAAGAAACAGTTAAGAGGTGCAGACAAGTTATTGTAAATTGAAAATAAATAACGGCGATGAGATCGGTCATTAGAATCATTTACAAACACCTGTCACGCAGATAAAGTCATTATATAAGCAGTCGACATTACGACGGTTTGCGAAATGTAAAAAACATTTCTGAACTTTTCGAATCCAGATCACATGAAAATAAATCGCGACGTGTTCAAATCATTATTGTCCAGAATATTTTTATAAATTTAAGAGCAGTGATCTCACAACTTAGAAGACATTAAAATCAACTTCTTACAATTTAATATTATTCTTTCGGTGTACCCTGCATGAAGGCCCCAATTCAATTCACAAACACGTGTATACGTTATCGGCATTGTTTTGTCATACAAATATAAAACAAGTGTATAATATCGCCATTGTTGGAGAACCTTGGGTTCGAATAATATGCAGGCATTTGGTATATTTTTTTGTTTACATAATTTGATAAATGGTTTCAAATATGTACGTTTAATCTAAAGAAATTGTCAAATACGTAAGAAAACAAAAGCACATGTTCATATTTATTTATATCTTGGTCATCTCACTCGCTGTGTCGGCAAAGTTCGGGAAGTAAACCCGATGCATAATTAATGAGATGAAAATGCACGCTACACGATATTAATTATCAATTATTAACACTTCTGTACTTTATATGAACATTCCACCGATCTTATTGTTAATTTAAAGTACATATCTTTGATTTTAGCAGCTTTAAAACTTGGTCATAATTTTGTCAAAATCGTAGCTACTATCCTTTTAAGCTAAAAAAGTTTTTTAAATAAATCATAAAACACAAATCAGACCTTTTCTTTACCACACATTTGTTTCAGTATGTAACTCAAGAGATGATTTTTATCAGCCTGAAATTGAACAAAACATCATACTCTAAAATTTATTTTAAATTCAATCTTACCTTTAAAAAGTAAATCTGTCAGTTAATTTTGCGGTTACCAGTTTCTGAGACAAAGTCGTTGTGGGTTACTGGTATAACATCATGTACTAGTGCTGCTGGTTTATGTGACCTGTCAAATAAAAGTCTGATATGAAAATCAATTAAATACAAACAAGACAATTTCAAGTCTGGAATTGTTCCACATTAAATGTATTTCCTTAATGTAGACTTGTCTGCACTTTTTAATGAGGAACTGCAGAAAAGGAAATTACTTATTAAGCTAAAGGGAAACAACTCATGTATATAACACGGGAGAAGATTGCAAAATACAATTAATTTCCCCATAGATGAAAAAAAGTAGCTTTTTTCAAGTACAGAAAGTTGATTTTTAGCAGGAAACTTTGCTAGAATTAAAGAAAATTTATCAGAACGTTATTTTTGATTCCAAAACATATAGATTCCCATCCTAGCTTTTCTTAATGCAATTTATACTTATTTCCCTTGTCTATCATTTCTGAACTTAGATTTACTTAGAAAAATGTGTCTCATCACAGCATAGAAAAGACTAAAATCTCAGTTCCTTTGGGGCTCAGGAAAATATGTTATTAGACTTTGTTATAATGCATAGTGCATGAAGTGTCTACAGTAATCAAAAATATTGGCTGTACACAATGACCAATCAGGATTAAGCCTACCTCTTATTCCTTCATAAAATGGCTGCACCCCCATAATACTGAATAGTTTATTGAAACCTGAGTGAAAGCATGCTGTCGCATAAGTCATTCCTTAATACTGATTCAAGATATTCTTTCTTTTGTATTTGATCTTACACAGTTACAAGTTAATCCTACAATACATTATAGAGGTCAAATGAGGTGACACATTATAGCTGTTGTATGATTACAGAGACCAAATCTGATCAGGTATGCCTCATTTAGTCAATGTATATGCCTCATTTGGCTAACCATTCATTAATCTGTCTTCTATATCTCAGTTATGTCAGTCATACAAATAATACAAGGCTTGCTAAATATACCAGTTATAATGACAGGGAAGTCAACAAGACAATCAACATACCAAGTATCCAGACGATTTGATGAGTATTTTGTATAATAATAATGGAAAGGAACTACTCAAGGGTAACAAAATATAATTCTTTCAAAATTACCAATGTCTATACTTATAATAACTTTCAGTGAGTCTTTTTATAATGAACCCCACCCTTTCCCTTGATTCTGCAGTAAAGATCAGTACTTAGGGGTTATGGTCTACATTAGCCAAAATAAAATAGTTCTGTTTCCTGCTCAATACCCAACCTTACATTTCATGCCTACCCAACACATTTTAATTTATGGACATTTTTGGTTAAGCTGCAAGTTAGCACCGCACCATCAAATCCATAACAGATTTTTCTCTACCTGAGTATATTATTTTCTATGAACATTTTTTTTTTTAATTTAATTATTCTAAATTATTCAATATTGAACCGTTAATGGAAGTACTAGAGCATGAGCAAGACAGAACACATATATCTAAGTATATATTTTTTAGCCTGAGTGCATATAGCCAAAAAAATAGTATTGGAATTATAAATATACCTATTTAAAATGCCAAGTCAGCAATTCACCTACTTATATTTATAGTAAATTACTACTAATGTAGTAACATTAATTAGTTGAAACAAACACCATTTCTAAACAGATCAAGTAGACCAATAATAAACTGTCCTTTGATAAATATGTTACAAACCATTTGAGGGCGAAATTGACATCAAAGAGCAGGAAATGTACACCATGTTTATATATACCTACCACAGGTAGAACTAAGAAAGGATCTTTGTTTTAGAGACCAGTGAATGGAAAGTGCTCACATAGACATAAATACAATCATTATAACTGGTATTAACATATTTACATCAAAATGTTCTTATTTGTATCAGTGACTCAGACACTGTATTTGTTTATACAACTTATTCTCATTAACAGTTCTAGATTAATGGAAACATATTTTCTTCTATGCTTTTGGAATATTAAGGTTGAATATATTTTTAATTTTGATAAAACTTTGTTTTTTTTTGTATTGTGCTACCTTAAATGTAACTGGATATTCAGCATTTAACATTCTTTACTAATAACATGTATAATAAAAGGTAAAACCGAAAGACCCCCCCTACTAAATTATTGAAATCTATCTTTTTGAAACAACTGAAATATCTTAATGTAAATAAGATACACTCATTTCGGCTAACACTCTCATGGACGAATCTAATACTTGTACTTAACAATAAAAGTATAATTATGTCACTTTGGAAGATTTAGACCATGAAAATAACAATACATGTATATAAATTTTGTGCCTCAAAAGTGCTTTTCCGGAACCACCTCTACCAGGAACAGTCAAACATAACCGTTTGAAAGCCAAGGATGTATAAATGTGGCAAAATTTTAGAACCTGTTTATACAATTGTTGTTGGAATATTGCTGCATCAGTCCACATGGGCTATATATATGTCAGTGGTAGATCCAGGGGTGGGGGAGTTCTGGCGGTTGGAATCACCCTTTTCTTTTGACGATCAATGCATTTGAATAGTGTATCCATACATAAAATTGAGAATGGAAATGGGGAATGTGTCAAAGAGACAGCAACCCGACCATAGAGCAGACAAAAGCCGAAGGCCACCAATGGGTCTTCAATGCAGCAAGAAACTCCCCCACCGGGAGGCGTCCTTCAGCTTGCCCCTAAACAAATTTGTATACTAGTTCAGTGATAATGGACGTCATACTAAACTCCAAATTATACACAGGAAACTAAAATTAAAAATGATACAAGACTAACATAGGCCAGAGGCTCCTGACTTGGGACAGCCGCAAAAATTCGGCGGGGTTAAACATGTTTTTTGAGATCTCAACCCTCCCCCTATACCTCTAGCCAATGTAGAAAAAACAAACGCACAACAGTACGCACAGTAAAACTCAGTATAAGAGAAGTCAGAGTCCGATGTCAGAATAGGAAACAAAAGAAAATAAACAAAATGACAATAATACATAAATAACAACAGACTACTAGCAGTTACTGACATGCCAGCTCCAGACCTCAATTAAACTGATTGAAAGATTATGTCTTCATCATATGAAGATATATACATACTTATCTTACCTCCTATACCATGTATACATTTCTAGAAATATGATTGGTTAAAAGCGTCTGCGTGGAGACAGTGCATATTTCATATGGGATTAGTAGGCGTGGTTTATTTCAATACACAGTTTAAGTCGTGGTGTTATGTCCCTTTATAAAAACAACATGAAGTTGTGGAAAAATCTGATACATTTCGCCCAGACAACAGTGAACAAATGCAGAAACACTTTAAACGCTAATAAGTTGTTTTGTTGGCATTTGTTTTTGTATAGACCAATGGAAATAGGTTCTTTATATTGAAAACTTGATCACTTTGATAGGCCACTAGTCTAAATGCCACATGTTAAGTTGGTACGATAAATTGGTTATAGTGTGCTAGTGACCTAATACGATATATATGATATATATAGTGGGTCAGTAACGCTCTCACCCTAGACTATATGAAATTTACTGACCCCATATATATAGTATTAAGTCATTAGCACACTATGTAACAAATAATACACCTTTTATTAACTTATATGACATGTGACCAAGCAGAACCAGGAAGATAATAGAAACAATACATTTATACAGAACAAAATAAGATGGTTCAAAGTAAGGTCATGTTCAAATATCAAGGAAGTAATATATTTGTTTGGCATTTTGTCATGTTGGGGCATTTTATAAAGATATATTGTATGGGTTGGTGCTCTTTGAAGTAGGCCATGTGGTGACCTCTAGTTGCTTAAATCAAGGTCATTTGGACTTTGGTTGATAGATGGCTCATTAGCAATCATACCACATCTACTTACTTTATTCTAATTGTAAGAGACAACTTATATATACATTTGCAATTCTAAGAACTACTGCATGAACTTAAATAGAGCAATATTGATTTATCATGTTACCCTGACGATTGAAACGCATTTAAAATCAATTTGAGAAGTTGAAATCCACTTTAGTGCATTTTCAGATAAACATTCAAACATTGGGAAATAGTACAACATAGTTGACTCATTTGCAATCATACCCAATTTCCTTATTCTATGTTGTCAGAGACAACTTACTTTTGCAATTCACAGAACTACTAACGTCACTGAACTTAAATTAAGCAAATACCCTAACAATTTGAAAGCATTTAACTCCAATTTAAGTAGCTAAATTCCAATTTAGTGCATTTTAAGATAAACATTCAAACATAAGGAAATAGTAAAACATACCTTTACACAACTAGACAGAATGTAAACATTGATATACCTGTGGTGTACTCTCCCTGTAATTATGTCACCAGGTAAACAATCTGTTATATAACTCAGGAGTGTGAAATATGATAAACCACAATTTTAATAAGGTTATAAATTACCATATCTACACAACCACAACTTAGTGTTCATGTAATAGTAAATCTTTTATTGAACTACTGTACTCTGACCTTTTGGAGTAAATTCACAAGTGTAAAAAAATTCAATGACAAATTTTTCGGTAGGATTTTTTTCTGACAATATAAACATGAGAAACACATGTACTGAATTAAGGAGGAAGATATCTACACAAATACATTTCATTTATCCAAAATTCTACAACCAGAATGAATGTCACTAAATTTATTCAGAGATGACAAAATGCAAATTTATGAAAAAATATGCTATGTGTTTGAAAAAGAATCATTTGTTATGTTTTTTAACAAAATTCAAAACGTACTTTCATTAAAAAAAGGTCAGTGTAAACATACCATGTAGGTTTTATTGCATATTTCAATAAAACATGAGTTGAGTGAAGATTTCTTTTAATGCAGGAGTGAAAAAAATATCCCCCAAAAATCAAAAACAATGAGTTATATCATTTTTCCATATGTATATTATAAAATATATCTAATTATGACCATCATATAATTTTTTGTATGCCCATTGGACAATAAAATATTCTATTCTCCACTTATATATAAATAAGATGTGGTATAATGAGTGCCAATGAGACAACTCTCCATCCAAGTCACATTTATAAAAAGTT